ACTGCTGCCCTAATTCTGCTATGAACAAAAAACCCGTCCCTAACTGATGATTGTCATTCCCCTTTCCATAGAAAAATGTAAAATTGTCCACTGGGATCGTGCCCTCCCCCTCCCATCGCACTTCCTGCACTGCCACTAAGTCTAACTTATAATCCTCTAATTCCCTACTCACTGATTTCAGTGCCTCAGCCCTATAGAGGCTCCTAATGTTCCAAGTACCAAATCTCATGTCCTTTTTCAATTGCCATGGTCGTGCCAAAGAGTCCGTCCTGATCCAAGGCTTGGTTAATGTGTTCGTAACATAGCTTTCTTTTTTCCAGGTGAAAGGTTGTTAGCCTTACACCCAACCCCCAACCTGGAGAACCAGGGTATCACTCTTAGTCTAGCGCATCTCCTTAGACCTGTCCGGCTTGGGTGACCCTACCATGAGCCGAAGCTCCGGCCGGCATAGTCCTAAGGGTCATTTGAGCACGCAAGCCTCCTCACCCGGCAGATTGCCTTCGACAAGGTGGTGATACCTTCGAGAAACACTTGACATAATTGTTCTCAATTAGTTACTCTTCACATCTCAGTCTGTTGCTCCTCTAAATCACACTTGTCCTGTCCACTTCATGACTCATGTATGCTGTACTCTGACTTTGAATCTGCTAGTTTTCACATAAAGACTCTGTCATGACTTGACATTTTGCTTGCCTGTTCTCACAACTGGGCTCAATTCCCAAGCTCCCAACATTTTATAGCTGCAGTAATTGTTTGCCAGAGTCAATGAACGTTCTACCCCACCCTAGAAAATATAAGTTCTGGTGGAAGCTCCCAGAAGGTAGCACATGCAGCATACTGATGTCACGTGTGTGTGTGGGGAGGATGTGTTCTCACTCTGCAGTCCATGACAATATAGCAAGTTTGATAAACAGAAGCACAAAAATCAAGAACTACAAAAATTAAATGTCGATTGGAGTGCACACTGCCATTTTAACTGCTCCACAAAGCTAATGCAAATACAGCCGCTCAAAGAGCATCTTTAAAGAGAAAATTATCCGCCTTACATATACTAAACTGATCCAACATTCAATCTGCTTCAGTGCATAGTGACAAGAGTCCAGCGAGAGTAGGTACCTTTTAATTTAATCCAAAGATACAGTTACCCTAATTTTTTATCTAGACAAAAGAATATACAATGGTAATTATCAGTAAAACCACTACCTTATCGTCTTGACCATTTTCAGCCCATTCCATCTTCTGTATAGTCTGCACAGCTTCAGTGATGACTCTGCACAGGAAATTAGTCCGACTGTCAATAACTGCCTGTTCCAGATTATGGCCTGGTAACTGAGGCTGCGAAGTTAAGTCCGCAAACAATGCTGCCTGACCCTGCAGAACAGAACAATTCATAGTCATCATGGTTAAAAGAAAAGGCTAATGTAAACATTCAAATATTCCTAGTACTTCAAAGTGGGTTTTGATACTATTTGGTTCTAATAGCATGTAACAGCCACTTCACATTTGCCACTTGCCACTGGACATAAATGAAAGATAACAGAAAATGTCCATATGTCTAATGCTTAATCCTTCTAGCCAGTTCAATTTACAGAGCAAGGTGGGCCTTCTGCATAATATGTTGCCTTCTGACATACTCTGTACGTTCATAGCAACAGTAACTTCCAACATAAATTTTGGTGCTAATTTTTTTTAGCAAATTTAATGTGCTGAAAGGCAAAATTATGAGGTTTGTTCGTTAATGATGGCTTTGTGTTTACTACTTTTGTATTTATGGAATTTTTCTAAAATATCTAGCATCTTATCCTTTGGAGCTACTCTTAATACGTCCATGATATCATCCATGGGGCTGTACTCGTGTCCGTGTTCGGCATATTTCGATTTTGTTAAATTGAACCTAATGTCGTGGACGTGTTCTTTAAATCTGGTTTTAAAATCCCTACCGGTTTGCCAACTATAGACCAGCTCGCAGCTTCCGCATTTTAACTGGTATACACCACTATCATTGTATTTGTTATCTTGTTTTCTTGAACTGCATTTGAATTTTATGGTATTGTTAACTTTGTATGCTACTTTTACGTTTGTGTTTTTGAATATTTTAGTTAGTGTTCAAATGCTATTATTAAAAAATGTAAAGCTGTACCATTCTTTATTAGTGGGTTGGGGTGCATTGATATTGGGTTTAGGTGCTTTTATTAGGTTATAGGATCTTCTGATATTAGAGTTGTAACAGTTGTTGTATCCTATTTCTTGGATGAGTTTGGTTTCTTTATCGAATTCTTCTTTGGAGAATGGTATTTTGTGCAATCTGTTCACAAGGAGACTGAATGCAGCTTGTTTGTGAGAGTTGGGATGGTTAGATATTTTGTGGATTACTACGAGGTGCGATCGGAAAGTTTCTAGACTGCGCCTATAAAAACCCGTACACTTATCTCAGGTATTAAATTCATCAATCACCCTCGAAGTAGTTCCCCTGGGAGTGAACACAACGATCCCAGCGCCGCTGCCAAGCCTGGAAATCATTTTTTTTCAGCCTGTCAAGCACCATCTGCAATTCTGCCTGAATCTCTTCTATCGTCTCAAATCTCCTTCCCTTTAGCTGAATTTTCATCTTTGGGAAG